TATATATATATATATATATATATATATACCTATGTGTGTGTGTGTGTAGTATGTTCTTAAAAATTAATAAAGCATCTAGAAATGCATTTTTTTTTAAGCTAAAAAGCAGAACGATTATTTTACCTTATGGATGTATTATAGCGGAAGACTGATCGCAGTTTCAATTTCTATTAACCAAGCTAGGACATATTGGATATAATAAGTTATTTTGTATATAAATTTTCTATTTTTATTGTATTACATTACAATTAGTGATCAATAGAAAAAAATTATTTGCAATGCATATAATTTCTAAATAGAGAATTTCCATAAATACTAAATAAACAATATTTTCAATATTGTTTAAATATAGTAGCTATGTAAGAATTACATAGCAAATACACAAAAATATAAACAAAAAGTATTTTTACAACCCAAAATCATAATTCAAGTTAATTTGTTAATAAATCTACAAATAATATGCTGTTGTTAAATGAAAATAAAATTAAATCTTTCTGTGTCACCACGTGTTCAACCGTGTTGAACTTTTTAGCTAAGCAACGCCGTAACGCCACCTTGACGAAAATTGATGGAGTGGGGGTAAAACGCTGGCTTTTCTTCGCTCCGTGAAATTGTACCTTTCACTTTAAACTATGACTGAAAATCGCATGATGAACAACTTACTCATATCTAGGGATTTTTCTGCTTTAAGGCGGTTTTACACGTATATTTCAACAATAACTCTATTGGTTATAATTTCTATTGTTTTTTTTGCTACCCTACTATGGGATAAACATATTCGGTACCTATCAGAGATTATTTTATGCAGGTATAAGCTTTGCGAATCTATAAGAGTTTTTCTATAACTTTTACATACTTGCCAAAAACCGATTATTTCGACGACTATATATATTGGGCATTTGTACTCACTGACGACTAAGATCAATCTTTCTCAATATAAGTTTTGCGATTTTATAATAATTTATTATTATTTATATCTGCCCAGAATTTCTTATGTTTTCTTTATATCCAACTATGGGATTAATATACTCGGCATCTACTAAAGAACACTTTATCCAAGAACAAGCCTTGCGAATCTGCAAGAATTATTATAACTTTATATACCTGCTAAAAAATCGACTTTTTCGATGAATATATACTAGGCATATGCATTCGCTGATAACTAAGATTGATCATTCTTAATATAAATTTTGCGATTCTACAATAGAAATTGTGTAATATTTTTTTATATGTTATAACTTTTGTACCTTATATGGTATTTTTAAAACATTCATACTTTGTCTATTGCCTGGCACTTTGAGAATAAAACAAATAGACAAATAAAACAAAATAAATAAACAATTCAAAACAACAAATAAACCAAACACACATGCATAAAATAAAAACACACAAAACAAAATAGAACCAAAACATAAAACAAAAACAAACAAAATACACCCTCATACATGCCAGGCAATCAATCAATTAATAATTAATTAATGGATTCTTCTAGATGTAATTCTGCGTAATCACGTAATATCTGTTTGCGAAATATAAATATACTGTCACAACATTTTATATGCTGATTTTGCGTACGGGCTCGTTTTTCTGAGCAAATATTATCCCTACGTTTTTTTATGGGTTACGTAGGGTTAACCCAAAGTTAAACAGTCATCTGAATTTTTAAGTACGCACTTGGACAATGCGTATCTTGTAGGCTAGGTCCTAGGGAAAGGACACCCCGATAAAAAACCAACACAAAAATGGAATGGAGAGAACAAAAAGGAAAACTTACCACCCCAGGGGGGTCGGATACCCAGGGGTCGGCGCGGGGGGGATATAGTCCCAGTGCCCCCCGTGTCGCTGGACTTGGCTCCTGAATCAAGCGATGGGCTAAACCAAGTTAATCTACGCCCGGAAGGGGCGTCGAATATATTATTAACATCGGCGTTGCCCACGGGCGCCGGTGACATAGGAGCTACTGTGGAAGGAAATTCATCACCACCGGTGCTAACCTCGGGCACCGGTGGCAACGAAGCTACTGAGAAAAATAAGCCCTCGACTAAGACTAAAAGTGTCGCCCTCGGGCACTAGTGAAGTAGATGTTACCGAGGAACTGTCTGATTCGCGGCGGACGACGAGGGACGAGATCACAAACTTGATGAGGGATATCACTGAGGGAGACTATTTCGGTCGCCCGGTTGCTGCCTCTCAAGAGCATCGACGATTTTTGTCCGAATTAGACCATCTTACTGAGGTGGACTTTGCGACGGGGAGTCAGGGTCATGATATGGAGATTGACGACGCGGATAAAACAGTTCCGAGCGAAAGTCCTACATATGTTCCAGATTCTGACGAAGAGAAAGTCATATCTGAATATTCACTTAGAAGTGAAAAAAGGAAAGCGCCGGCTTCTAAGGAAAATTCACCTACTAACAAAACCCCGTTGAAGAAAACAAGATATATTGCGGGTAAGAAAGTTAGGGTCAGCAAAAGTACTACCCCCGTGGCGGCTGGCTCCCTGGTTTCAGATACTCAGATGAAAGTTATGGAGGGAGGAGAGATTCGCACTCTGGAGACTGGAAAACTTTCGGAACTCGCTACCAAATATATTGATAAAGTGGACAAGATTCGCAGGGGAAACCAGAGATTTGCGGGCCCTCTCAACAGATCGATGAAGGAAGGTTTAATAAATCTTGAAGAAATTATGAAGACCTTGGTGAAGAGGCTGGACAATGCTGGAGACATCTTATCTCTCAAAGTGCAGGTCGTTAAACTTACTGAGAAGCTTTGCGCCTGTAAAAAAAGAGGGGCAGAGGGCTAAGCAAGAATACTCTGGTATAATCAGGGAAAACAACAAGTTCAAGATGGAGATGAGAAACCTGCAACAATGGTTGACAGCGTAATGCTGGGGCTGGGTCGAAATCTCCGGTCTTCGTATTTGAAACCTTCCAGCAGCCTGGTACTGAGAAAGCTTCTTTTCCTGATTACACAACTAGAGCCTCCCAGCAATCAGATGTTGGGGTATCTTCTGCTCCCGCGGAGGTTGCGATGATGGATCCGCCATCGGCATCCTCTCACCCTGGATTCGGCGAAAAGCACAAATCTACTGAATTTCTCCTACCTCGGCCACTCCCCCAAAGAAGCCTAAGAGTAAGAACCAGGGGCAAGGCTAAACCGAGGGTTACTAGCGAGGATCGTCATTCGAGGAAATAAACTTTGATTGAGTCAGGTGCCAAATCTCGCTCTGAGAAGGAAAGCGACATTGGGACCGGCGATGTGACAGATGATCGCGGGCGATCCACTTATGATGGCACCCGCCTTGGTAGGACTCATCGTGTATCCACCTCCGACTGGACTGAAGACTCGGAGGATGATTCTATTTCTGCAGCCAAAACTGAGATAAAGGAACTCAGCAAGGAGATTACTAAGCTGGTTGAACGGAGACACCAGCTCAGTAGAAAGATGTCGACATTGCATCTGGGGAAATCATATAAGAACATCCTGAAGAAATCCCGTAAAACCTCCTTTCGGAGCCCGGTGACTGATACAGAAAGGGGAAACCAGCGTGGTCCGATCGTGGGAACGGTGGGAACTCAGCGTGACAAACCTGCTCGCGGCGGAGCTCAACGCAGGCCTCCGAGAACCGCCGCAGTACTAATAACCAATGTCGAGCCCAGCACATCATATTCGGACATTCTAAAAAAAGTTCGCGAGAAATACCCTTAAATAGTTTGGGTATTGAAATTTCCAAAATTAGGAAAGGGATTAACGGCGGAGTCGTAATAGAGATTCCCGGATCCGACGGTGCTTCAAAGGCCGACAACCTGGCTGCTAAACTGAGAGACGTCCTGGGCGCTTCAGCCAGAATAACCAGACCTACGAAAACCAGCAAAGAAATCCGGCTTTGGAATTTGGACGACTCTACTACGCCCTCAGATATCACTAACAAAATCTCATCTATTGGAGAGTGTGATGAGACACAGATTAAGATCGGAAATATTCGCCCTACTAACAATGGTCTCTTCTCAGTGTGGGCCAAATGTCCGCTTTCCGCGGCGGTGAAGATTGCCGAACCAGGCAAAATTAGAATTGGTTGGACTGTTGCACGGGTCGAGCTGCTAAAGGCTAGGCCCGTGCAATGTTTCAAGTGCTGGCGCTTCGGCCACGTGCGAAATAACTGTTCGTATCAAGAGGTATCGCACTGGTAATTGTTTCCGTTGTGGAGCTCGGGACTACAGGATAAATAATTGCAGAAACGACCTGCACTGCGTTGTCTGCGCGGATGTTCAAAGCAATCATCGCCTCTGCTTGGCTCGGCGAAGTCTGGGCTTTGAGATGGACTCGACGAAGTCTGGGACCGACGCTAGGAAAAATTGCCCATAAATGGCTACCTTCATACAAGCTAACTTGAACCGCAGCCGAGAGGCCCAGGACCTCTTAATTTTTTGTGTTAATGAGCTGGGTGCTGCGGTATGCGTGGTTTCAGAGCCCGCCCGCATGCAAGGCACCCAGCAATGGTTTGTTTCTCTGAACAAATTGGCTGCTGTATATGTCAATGTTCGCGTCGCCGACTACCCTGTAATGCTCGCAG